CCAAACCACAGTCTGGTCAGTACCTGGGTCCTGGTCAGTACCTGGGTCCTGGTCAGTACCTGGGTCCTGGTCAGTACCAACCGTGTACCCGTGAGGTCGGACTGACACCTGTCGACAGGTGAGAAAGTGACTGCTCTGTTTGTTTTGGAGCACAGCCCCCGGGGGGCAGCAGAGTGAAAATTGGGAAATGGAAGACAGACAACACAGACAACACAGGACGAGGAGGATGGGGGGGGGGGGGGGGGGGGGGGGGCTTCCTTTTTCTAATTTGTCTGGTATGGTTGGAGCCCCCGATCGACGGGACGTTCAACCCTGGGCTCCGACATCAACCCGTCAACTCTCCCAGGTTTAAAGATTAACTTTGATTAAATCTTTAAAAAGAAAAAAAAAAGCTGTCACTGATTAAAACCACAGCTACAAATCAGCAGGCAAAACAAAGGCCACCTATGGGGCCTCCAGCTCTCGCTACATTCCTACGGTTTAGCGGAGGAAACGTTAACCTTGAAATGCTGCTGAAATCTGCCGCTAACAATGTGCGACGATCAGCCGTAAATCGGGGGAGAAATTGAATCCCTTTAAGTTATTAAGCAGAGAACGGATTATGAAGTCGTCTTTATCGTGGAGCTAGAAATCCCCGTGTCTTCCTCTGGACACGTTCACAGTTCCCACGAGAAGCTGCACGGGCCTGATTGCTCGGGACTCGTCCCACGTGGTGAGCACCACTTTAATTAATAGACAGCCCACAGAGGGAGGCTGTCCGCCGGGGGCACGGCAGCGCCGCGGCCGCCGTCTGTACTTCCGTGTTTCTGTGATCCAGGCCAAAATACCAGCACATGAGCCGGAAGTCCTCCCTCCTACAGACACCGTGTACTGTGTGTAGTACATGCAGTACACGGATGATATATGTGTAGAGACTCGGTTTCTATTTCATACCGACGTCGTCGACGCTGCTGGAGCTTCTGGACCAGCGGACTGTTCACAAGCGGCGGCTTCAGTTTCTCGAGGTTCGACGCCGCTGGGTCAAAGGGCTCGTTCGTCACAGCGGTCAAATATCGCGATAGTTTATGGGGAAACGACAGCAAATGTGTTTTATGATTGAAATAAAGGGAAAACAAAAGAGTTTAACTGTCAAGCAGTCGTTGCTGTATATGTGACAAATCACCTTAAAATAAATCAATAATAATAATCGGGGGAGAAATACTGTATTTGTACTGTACTGAATTACTGTATTTCTAAAATTAATTGATTAGATTAAAATGTCTAAAATGGTTGAGTCTAATATTTATATAATTTTATTTTTTTTCTTGGTCTGTGCTGTTTTATATTTCGGCCAATTCTCCCGCTGTCGTCCTGACGTATTAGCGCGGCCTCACAGTTTTGGTCGATTACTGACCTAAAATTGAAATTGGTCACAGCGGTGTAAACCTATGTAGACTAGAGAGCAGTTAATCAAGTTAGTCATAACTAAGTGCAGACTGGATTACCTGCTATTGACGGTAACAAGGTTCACACCACAGTGGATTGGACTGGGATTAAAGTCACACTGGTTTTTAGGAAATTAGCGGTTAATATTTTTACAACGAAAGTGAAGGTTGTATTTTATCACATTTATTTGATTGTGTTGTGTTTTGTTTTAAATGCCGTTACATTTACACCACACAAAAACGAAGGCCCGGCGATAAATACATTCCAGCGGAAAGTGGCTGCGGCGGCTGCGGGGACAGAGGAGGTTAATCCGAGTTTAATGCACTGAAGCCCCGGCTGTGATGGCGGTGTTATCTCTGGCCAACATTTGGCTCTCCCTCCATTTCCATCCAGTCAAATAGCTGCGAGAAAGTGCGGATGGAGTGAGTCTCAATGCCGCAGGAAAAAACGTTATTATTAGCTAAATAACTGGAGTGAATCTCTCTCTCTCTCTCTCTCTCTCTGTCACACACACACACACACACACACTGTTCCAGATGGATTTGTTTGAAGTGCCCCCCCCTCTCCCCCCTCTCCCATGTCCTTCTCATTCAGCACGGCTTTAGAGCCGAAATATACTTACATTATATTTCCATACACTCAGATTGGCTGCGTGCACGCGCAAAGGCCCGTGCGTGAGAACGCGCATTTGTGTTTGAGACGAAAAAGACAGAGGATTGGAGTCAGATTTTCACCTTAAAATACTACTACTACTATTACTACTACTATTACTACTACTACTTATAGTAATAATAATTATTGTTAGTATTAATATTAGAAGTTGATATTTCTACTTTTATTACTAATAATAAAAACTAAAAAAGAAAGATTTTTTTGAAGTTTGAAAACATTTTTTTCAGATTTGATTTTAAAATATTTCACTACAATAAACTTTATTTCGTAATATTTGTAGAAATTTTAATTATAATTTACACCTAAACTAAACTCCGTCTCTTCTCCTCCTGCTCTCGGTCACACACCCCCCCACCCCCACCCCCACCCCGGATTATAATCCCAGGT